AGACTCCGAGGTTTTTAACATTGACTGCCACACTAGAAGAAAAAAATTTCCTCTGGGGCCACAGTGTTTTATTACGAAAATAAAATAAAAACTGTTTGTTTTTGTTCTAAAACAAAACAGTGTTTTTTAATTTAATGAAAAGTTGATTATTTTTTCTGTGTGTGAGTTATAGGCAACTTGAAAAATAGTTCACTCTGCTCAAGGTAAAGAAAGACACGTGTGTGTTACATATGCTTCACGAGGCCCCAGGCTCAAAACTAGCATGAGTTAAATATAACTGACATGGCAGTTAATGTGTTAATTGACTTTAATCTTGGACTTAAAACAATCCAAGATTATAGCAGATTGGGCTGAATGTAGAGACTTGTAAGTCCAGGAATATTTCTAGGCCTAAGCATACTATTTGGGTTCCTGAGTTGAAACCATTTCAGTATTCCTCTCACCCATACTAAATTAGTCATAGATAGAAATCGAAAAACAGTCTGCTTATTTACTACCATTGTTCATAGCTTTAGATTTTATTTGGTGTAAGAATTTATTAGTTTAACAACCTTCTAAATTGCAGAAAGAGAAATGTGAAGAAAAATCTTTCTGAACTAGTAGTGGAGATCCTGGTAGACTTTTCTTTTCAACAGATATGTTTTGAGATATTTTTGTTTCACTGTTTCAAGGGAGAAGCATTGTCTGGTGTTATTTTATCCCATTTAACAACTTAATGTACTTTGTATCTTGTGTCTTGTATGTGCTTTCATAATTTTGATGGTAATTTAATTAAGATCAAAGAGATTACCTATGTATTCTACTCTCCAGCACAGTGCATGGCACATGGCCTTTAATAAATACTTTAAATTAAGTGAACAGAATGCTTTTCTACCTTCAGTAGAGAATTTGGACTACAGCAACCAGTTTTTTGTATGTGTATAAATCATACAAAGCAGGTTGAAGATTATCAAATTAAGAGAATTATGAATGAAGTCTGCTTCTGTGTGCCCGTACTCAATCATATAACATAAAAGCCTATACTGGCCAAGTCCAAATGGCAATTTTTGGCAGGAAACAAACTTGTTCTAAATTTGGAAGCATTAATTGAAATTTCTGTACCTGTACGTTGGTGTTATCTTTCACTAGTTAGAGTTTGGAATGTGAGAAACTCTAAAAATCTGTTTATGAATAAATCCTCTTATGTTTAATTTTTGTTTTTTTGTGAACCATTTCTAGCTCAAAGAAAAATCGCAAATACAGTACAAAGAACAGTTTCCTGAACTGTTTAAGAATAAGTTGCCAATATTATGCTCCCAACACCTTGAGTATTTCTTACAAAGACAGTCTCTACAATGCAACGATCAAACTCAAGAAACTTACATTGATGCATTAATACTACCTAATCCTCAGAATTACATGTTGCATTTAGTTGGCATGTCTCTTCAGTCTCCTTTATTCTGGAATAATTCTTCAGGCTTCTCTGGACTTTCATGGTCTTGACAGTTCGAATATTGTAGGCAAGTTATTTTATAGAATTTCCCTCAATTTGTGTTTGTCTGATCTTTCTTTAGGTTTAGATTTAGCTTAATACACTTCTTGATAGGCATATCACTTCCAGAGTCAGTCTAACATAAGTTAGACTGTGTAACTGTGTTTGGATGTCACCCAAAATACATTCCTGACGCTGCATTTTGAAACTTAGGAAAAACATAGCTTAAAAAGCCCTGTGTTTTCATTAAAATTTAACTGCAAAGGACTAGTGTTTGATCGCTAGGCTCTTTTAAAAAGTTGTTTTCCTGTAGAAAAGAATTTTATGGTGTTTATACGTCCGTTCCTTATTGTTAAGTCATTTTACTTTGCTGTATGCAAAATTAAGATGTTTTGGATCCTGTAATCATATTTATTTTTGACATAATGGAGCTATTCCTTATTAAGAATACTGAGTTAACTGAAGATTTTTTTCTATCAGACTAAACATAATGGAAAAAGTGTGCTTGTTTTTCTTGACTTACAAGAAATTCCAAATTCTATTTCTCTTCATTCCATTTGCTAGTTTGTATTTATGCTTTTGCTTCTTGTTGGGTTTATCAAAGGATGTTAAGAGAGTGAAAAGGCAAGCCGTAGGGTAGGAGAAGACACTTGCAACACATAAAACTGACAAAGGGCACTTAGCAGAATCTGCAAAGAACATCATAAAATAAATAAAGATAACCTGATAGCTGGATGAGAGTTGAACTTTACCAAAAAGGCTATTCAAGTGGCCAGTAAATATATGAAAGGGACTCAACTACAATGAGATGCCACTATACACCTGTCAGAATGACTAAAAATCTTAAAGATAGACAATAGCTAGGTGTTGGCCAGTGTTTGTAACAACTGGAATTCTCATACTGCTAACATAAGTGTAAATTGGTAAAAGAACCTTGGAAAACTGATACCCATTTAAATTCTACCTGCACCTACCCTGTGTTGCCAGATTCTACCCAACTGAAATTAAATGTGGCTATGACAACTATAGTTATAAAGGATTAACCCTTTATGTTTTCCAAGTTAATATGTCTTCTTGTTTTATGTAAACAAGGAAGTTAATGACTTTTTGTTGGTGCTGTTCTTTGTTTTCAAGGCAAATTTTAGTAAAGTATGTGTTACTTCTGACCTTCACCATTGTAGAGTGCCCTAAATTCATCAAACATTTTAGTCACTGGACTGAAGTCATGTAGCTTATCGTGCTAGGGTCTATACCAAATGGAGCATATAACTCCAATTTTTTTGTAGTCTTTTTCCCTTTCTTTTCAAGTTATTTGCATGTAATTCATGGTGTTGCTCTAGACTATTTGGGAAAGAAGGGTTTGCAAGGCCAAGAGGAAGTAATAATGGGTGAAGTTTAGAGGGGATAAGCAGGAGAAAAATCTGTAATGTGAGGGGCACGCAAATATAAGCAAGAAAAATTCTTGTAGGTCCCAGTCAGGAAATATAAACATTTTGAATTACTATATTACAACTGCATAATTATTCCA